CTGCCTATTTTCTCATGTCTATATGCACTGTTAGATCTGTAAAGTACCAACGGAATCCTTTTAAGGATTTATTACTATTTTTTCCAATTATTTTTGGCAACACTTTAGTAAAACCTGACTCTAGAAGTGACCTAACGCTTTATAATTGTCTTTTTAATGATCATTCTTCTTCCCATTTCTCCTTGACTCAATTTACTGACTACTTAGTTTTAAATCAAACTAATGAAAAGGAAAGGAGAAAAGGAAAGATATACCTATCTGAATGCAGAGTTCCAAAGAATAGCAAGGAGAGATAAGAAAGTCTTCCTCAGTGATCAGTACAAATAGAGGAAAACAACAGAATGGGAAAGACTAGAAATCTCTTCAAGAAAATTAGAGATACCAAGGGAACATTCCATGCAAAGATGGGCTCTAATAAAGGACAGAAATGGTATGGACCTAACAGAAGCAGAAGATATAAGAAGAGGTGGCAAGAATACACAGAAGAATTATACAAAAAAGATCTTCATGACCCAGATAATCATGATGGTGTGATCACTGACCTAGAGCCAGACATCCTGGAATGTGAAGTCAAGTGGACCATAGAAAGCATCACTACGAACAAAGTGAGTGGAGGTGATGGAATTCCAGTTGAGCTATTTCAAATCCTAAAAGATGATGCTGTGAAAGTGCTGCATGCAATATGCCAGCAAATTTGGAAAACTCAGCAGTGGCCACAGGACTGGAAAAGGTCAGTTTTCATTCCAATCCCAAAGAAAGGCAGTGCCAAAGAATGCTCAAACTACTGCACAATTGCACTTATCTCACACACTAGTAAAGTAATGCTCAAAATTCTCCAAGCCAGGCTTTAGCAAGAACTTCCAGATGTTCAAGATGGTTTTAGAAAAGGCAGAAAAACCAGAGATCAAGTTGTCAATATCCTCTGGATCATCAAAAAGCAAGAGAGTTCCAGAAAAACATCTGTTTCTGCTTTACTGACTATGCCAAAGCCTTCGACTGTGTGGATCACAATAAACTGTGGAAAATTCTGAAAGAGATGGGAATACCAGACCATCTGACCTGCCTCTTGAGAAATATATATGCAGGTCAGGAAGTAACAGTTAGAACTGTACATGGAATGACAGACTGGTTCCAAATAGGAAAAGGAGTACATCAAGGCTGTATATTGTCACCTTGCTTATTTAACTTATATGCAGAGTACATCATGAGAAACGCTGGGCTGGAAGAAGCACAAGCTGGAATCAAGATTGCCAGGAGAAATATCAATAACCTCAGATATGCAGATGACACTACCCTTATGGCAGAAAGTGAAGAGGAACTAAAAAGCCTCTTGATGAAAGTGAAAAAGGAGAGTGAAAAAGTTGACTTAAAGCTCAACATTCAGAAAACTAAGATCATGGCAGCCGGTCCCATCACTTCATGGGAAATAGATGGGGAAACAGTGGAAACACTGTCGGACTTTATTTTTGGGAGCTCCAAAATCACTGCAGATGGTGACTGCAGCCATGAAATAAAAGACGCTTACTCCTTGGAAGGAAAGTTATGACCAACCTAGATAGCATATTAAAAAGCAGAGATATTACTTTGCCAACAAAGGTCCGTCTAGTCAAGGCTATGGTTTCTCCAGTAGTCATGTATGGATGTGAGAGTTGGACCATAAAGAAAGCTGAGCACAGAATTGATGCTTTTGAACTGTGGTGTTGGAGAAGACTCTTGAGAGTCCCTTGGACTAAGGAGATCCAACCAGTCCATCCTAAAGGAGACCAGTCCTGGGCGTTCACTGGAAGGACTGATGCTTCGGCTGAAACTCCAATACTTTGGCCACCTCATGTGAAGAGCTGACACATTGGAAAAGACCCTGATGCTTGGAGGGATTGGGGGCAGGAGGAGAAGGGGACGACAGAGGATGAGATGGCTGGATGGCATCACTGACTCAATGCACATGAGTTTGTGTGATCTCTGGGAGTTGGTGATGGACAGGGAGGCCTGGTATGCCGCGACTCGTGGGGTCGCAAAGAGTTGGACATGACTGAGCGACTGAACTGAACTGAGAAAGATACTAAAAAAAAAGTAAGGTGGTCCTATAGGTGGTATTTAGGGAGAATGTTAAAAGCCCATTGATACCTAGAAAGCTAGGAACTCAGCAGGTACATATATGAATCAAGTACATGGTGTGTCCTGGCTCATATCTCACCTTTTGGTTACTATCTCCCTTCCCAGAGAAGTTCAGAGTGAATGGCATAGAGGAGCCAATCTTGGCTCCAATGGGTGGGAAAGTGGAGCTCAGTTGCCAGGTGTCCCCACCACAGAGTGCAGAACACATGGAGATACGCTGGTTCCGGAACCACTACAAAAAACCTGTTCACCTGTACAAGGATGGTAAAAACTTGTATGGAGAAACCATCTCTAATTATGTGGAGCGGACAGAGCTCCTCACAGACGCCATTGGAGAGGGTAAGGTGACCCTCAGAATCTTTAGGGTGAATGCTGATGATGATGGGACGTACCACTGTTTCTTCAAAGATGGTGATTTCTATGAGGAGGCCATCACAGAGGTAAAGGTCACAGGTAAGGATGGATCCCTCTGACACTTCTATGCATTCATGATTCTCAGTTCATCTGAGGCTGAGTATTAAGAATATTCTCAATGTTTCTAACCATTTCATAGTCAGGGTTTAGTTAGCAAGTTCAGATTCATATATTTAGTCTTTAAATGGGGAAATGTGGAGGATTAAGAATGCAAACTTTGTCTGTGCACACATTACCTTTATCAGCAAGAACTGCCTATTTTCTCATGTCTATATGCACTGTTAGATCTGTAAAGTACCAACGGAATCCTTTTAAGGATTTATTACTATTTTTTCCAATTATTTTTGGCAACACTTTAGTAAAACCTGACTCTAGAAGTGACCTAACGCTTTATAATTGTCTTTTTAATGATCATTCTTCTTCCCATTTCTCCTTGACTCAATTTACTGACTACTTAGTTTTAAATCAAACTAATGAAAAGGAAAGGAGAAAAGGAAAGATATACCTATCTGAATGCAGAGTTCCAAAGAATAGCAAGGAGAGATAAGAAAGTCTTCCTCAGTGATCAGTACAAATAGAGGAAAACAACAGAATGGGAAAGACTAGAAATCTCTTCAAGAAAATTAGAGATACCAAGGGAACATTCCATGCAAAGATGGGCTCTAATAAAGGACAGAAATGGTATGGACCTAACAGAAGCAGAAGATATAAGAAGAGGTGGCAAGAATACACAGAAGAATTATACAAAAAAGATCTTCATGACCCAGATAATCATGATGGTGTGATCACTGACCTAGAGCCAGACATCCTGGAATGTGAAGTCAAGTGGACCATAGAAAGCATCACTACGAACAAAGTGAGTGGAGGTGATGGAATTCCAGTTGAGCTATTTCAAATCCTAAAAGATGATGCTGTGAAAGTGCTGCATGCAATATGCCAGCAAATTTGGAAAACTCAGCAGTGGCCACAGGACTGGAAAAGGTCAGTTTTCATTCCAATCCCAAAGAAAGGCAGTGCCAAAGAATGCTCAAACTACTGCACAATTGCACTTATCTCACACACTAGTAAAGTAATGCTCAAAATTCTCCAAGCCAGGCTTTAGCAAGAACTTCCAGATGTTCAAGATGGTTTTAGAAAAGGCAGAAAAACCAGAGATCAAGTTGTCAATATCCTCTGGATCATCAAAAAGCAAGAGAGTTCCAGAAAAACATCTGTTTCTGCTTTACTGACTATGCCAAAGCCTTCGACTGTGTGGATCACAATAAACTGTGGAAAATTCTGAAAGAGATGGGAATACCAGACCATCTGACCTGCCTCTTGAGAAATATATATGCAGGTCAGGAAGTAACAGTTAGAACTGTACATGGAATGACAGACTGGTTCCAAATAGGAAAAGGAGTACATCAAGGCTGTATATTGTCACCTTGCTTATTTAACTTATATGCAGAGTACATCATGAGAAACGCTGGGCTGGAAGAAGCACAAGCTGGAATCAAGATTGCCAGGAGAAATATCAATAACCTCAGATATGCAGATGACACTACCCTTATGGCAGAAAGTGAAGAGGAACTAAAAAGCCTCTTGATGAAAGTGAAAAAGGAGAGTGAAAAAGTTGACTTAAAGCTCAACATTCAGAAAACTAAGATCATGGCAGCCGGTCCCATCACTTCATGGGAAATAGATGGGGAAACAGTGGAAACACTGTCGGACTTTATTTTTGGGAGCTCCAAAATCACTGCAGATGGTGACTGCAGCCATGAAATAAAAGACGCTTACTCCTTGGAAGGAAAGTTATGACCAACCTAGATAGCATATTAAAAAGCAGAGATATTACTTTGCCAACAAAGGTCCGTCTAGTCAAGGCTATGGTTTCTCCAGTAGTCATGTATGGATGTGAGAGTTGGACCATAAAGAAAGCTGAGCACAGAATTGATGCTTTTGAACTGTGGTGTTGGAGAAGACTCTTGAGAGTCCCTTGGACTAAGGAGATCCAACCAGTCCATCCTAAAGGAGACCAGTCCTGGGCGTTCACTGGAAGGACTGATGCTTCGGCTGAAACTCCAATACTTTGGCCACCTCATGTGAAGAGCTGACACATTGGAAAAGACCCTGATGCTTGGAGGGATTGGGGGCAGGAGGAGAAGGGGACGACAGAGGATGAGATGGCTGGATGGCATCACTGACTCAATGCACATGAGTTTGTGTGATCTCTGGGAGTTGGTGATGGACAGGGAGGCCTGGTATGCCGCGACTCGTGGGGTCGCAAAGAGTTGGACATGACTGAGCGACTGAACTGAACTGAGAAAGATACTAAAAAAAAAGTAAGGTGGTCCTATAGGTGGTATTTAGGGAGAATGTTAAAAGCCCATTGATACCTAGAAAGCTAGGAACTCAGCAGGTACATATATGAATCAAGTACATGGTGTGTCCTGGCTCATATCTCACCTTTTGGTTACTATCTCCCTTCCCAGAGAAGTTCAGAGTGAATGGCATAGAGGAGCCAATCTTGGCTCCAATGGGTGGGAAAGTGGAGCTCAGTTGCCAGGTGTCCCCACCACAGAGTGCAGAACACATGGAGATACGCTGGTTCCGGAACCACTACAAAAAACCTGTTCACCTGTACAAGGATGGTAAAAACTTGTATGGAGAAACCATCTCTAATTATGTGGAGCGGACAGAGCTCCTCACAGACGCCATTGGAGAGGGTAAGGTGACCCTCAGAATCTTTAGGGTGAATGCTGATGATGATGGGACGTACCACTGTTTCTTCAAAGATGGTGATTTCTATGAGGAGGCCATCACAGAGGTAAAGGTCACAGGTAAGGATGGATCCCTCTGACACTTCTATGCATTCATGATTCTCAGTTCATCTGAGGCTGAGTATTAAGAATATTCTCAATGTTTCTAACCATTTCATAGTCAGGGTTTAGTTAGCAAGTTCAGATTCATATATTTAGTCTTTAAATGGGGAAATGTGGAGGATTAAGAATGCAAACTTTGTCTGTGCACACATTACCTTTATCAGCAAGAACTGCCTATTTTCTCATGTCTATATGCACTGTTAGATCTGTAAAGTACCAACGGAATCCTTTTAAGGATTTATTACTATTTTTTCCAATTATTTTTGGCAACACTTTAGTAAAACCTGACTCTAGAAGTGACCTAACGCTTTATAATTGTCTTTTTAATGATCATTCTTCTTCCCATTTCTCCTTGACTCAATTTACTGACTACTTAGTTTTAAATCAAACTAATGAAAAGGAAAGGAGAAAAGGAAAGATATACCTATCTGAATGCAGAGTTCCAAAGAATAGCAAGGAGAGATAAGAAAGTCTTCCTCAGTGATCAGTACAAATAGAGGAAAACAACAGAATGGGAAAGACTAGAAATCTCTTCAAGAAAATTAGAGATACCAAGGGAACATTCCATGCAAAGATGGGCTCTAATAAAGGACAGAAATGGTATGGACCTAACAGAAGCAGAAGATATAAGAAGAGGTGGCAAGAATACACAGAAGAATTATACAAAAAAGATCTTCATGACCCAGATAATCATGATGGTGTGATCACTGACCTAGAGCCAGACATCCTGGAATGTGAAGTCAAGTGGACCATAGAAAGCATCACTACGAACAAAGTGAGTGGAGGTGATGGAATTCCAGTTGAGCTATTTCAAATCCTAAAAGATGATGCTGTGAAAGTGCTGCATGCAATATGCCAGCAAATTTGGAAAACTCAGCAGTGGCCACAGGACTGGAAAAGGTCAGTTTTCATTCCAATCCCAAAGAAAGGCAGTGCCAAAGAATGCTCAAACTACTGCACAATTGCACTTATCTCACACACTAGTAAAGTAATGCTCAAAATTCTCCAAGCCAGGCTTTAGCAAGAACTTCCAGATGTTCAAGATGGTTTTAGAAAAGGCAGAAAAACCAGAGATCAAGTTGTCAATATCCTCCGGATCATCAAAAAGCAAGAGAGTTCCAGAAAAACATCTGTTTCTGCTTTACTGACTATGCCAAAGCCTTCGACTGTGTGGATCACAATAAACTGTGGAAAATTCTGAAAGAGATGGGAATACCAGACCATCTGACCTGCCTCTTGAGAAATATATATGCAGGTCAGGAAGTAACAGTTAGAACTGTACATGGAATGACAGACTGGTTCCAAATAGGAAAAGGAGTACATCAAGGCTGTATATTGTCACCTTGCTTATTTAACTTATATGCAGAGTACATCATGAGAAACGCTGGGCTGGAAGAAGCACAAGCTGGAATCAAGATTGCCAGGAGAAATATCAATAACCTCAGATATGCAGATGACACTACCCTTATGGCAGAAAGTGAAGAGGAACTAAAAAGCCTCTTGATGAAAGTGAAAAAGGAGAGTGAAAAAGTTGACTTAAAGCTCAACATTCAGAAAACTAAGATCATGGCAGCCGGTCCCATCACTTCATGGGAAATAGATGGGGAAACAGTGGAAACACTGTCGGACTTTATTTTTGGGAGCTCCAAAATCACTGCATGAAATAAAAGACGCTTACTCCTTGGAAGGAAAGTTATGACCAACCTAGATAGCATATTAAAAAGCAGAGATATTACTTTGCCAACAAAGGTCCGTCTAGTCAAGGCTATGGTTTCTCCAGTAGTCATGTATGGATGTGAGAGTTGGACCGTGAAGAAAGCTGAGCACAGAATTGATGCTTTTGAACTGTGGTGTTGGAGAAGACTCTTGAGAGTCCCTTGGACTAAGGAGATCCAACCAGTCCATCCTAAAGGAGATCAGTCCTGGGTGTTCATTAGACGGACTGATGTTGAAGCTGAAACTCCAATACTTTGGCCACCTGATGCAAAGAGCTGACTCATTGGAAAAGACCCGGATGTTGGGATGGATTGGGGCCAGGAGAAAAAGGGGACGACAGAGGATGAGATGGTTGGATGGCATCACCGACTCAATGGAGATGAGTTTGAGTATACTCCAGGAGTTGGTGATAAACAGGGAGGCCTGGTGTGCTGTGATCCATGGGGTAGCGAAGAGTCGGACACAACTGAGCGACTGAACTGAACTAGTTCTAAATCTAGTTCAAAAAGCCTTATCCACAATCTTTCATGTCCTCCAAAATTGCCTCAGCCTTCAAGCTTTCTGACTAGCACAGAAATGGTGGGGAAATGGAAGACTCAAAGTTAATTGAAGGGGTTCCCCAATGTGAGGGCCTAAGGGTAGTGTCCAAGGCCCATTCACACATAACATTTTCATTGGTTATTGTGACACTCATCTGTATTGCCTAGAACTAACCTATCCAATGTGATAGCCACTAGCCATATGTGGCTACTTCAATTTTTATTTAATAAAATTAAAAGTAAAAATTAAATAAAATTGAAAATTAATTCTTTAATGTCATTGATTGCATTTTAGGTGCTAAAGTCTCCTGTAGCAAAACACTACTGATTGGACCACAGATATATGGAATATTTCCATCACTGTAGAAATTTTAACAGACATTAAATTAAAATAACTTTAATATAAAGTAAAATGGAGTAATTTTTAAAATCTCTGCTCATTCATTCTTTGTTCACAGTTTAGGCAAGTCTTACATCCCCAGCAACATACTGAAATTTTTCAAAAATTTGTTTATTTTCTCTAAACTGATACATAGGAATTTATTTTGATAATATTGGGTTAGCCAAAAAGTTTGTTCTGGTTGGCCAAACCAACTTTTCGGCCAACCCAATAGTAGTATGTGACCTATTTTATGCAAAGAGCACATAAATTAAAGTTTCAATTAAAGCTGCAAAGTAGACTTTATGCTATTTACTATTTAATAATAAACTACAGTAATGCATATGAGACTAATGATGAAAATATAAGAAAAATGTTACACTATAAATTCTATGAGGACTGAGATCTTGATTGTTTTTGCTCATTCATGACCTAACTCAGTCTCCTAGGTTTAGAAAATTATCAATAAATATTTTTGACTGACTAAATGAATAGATCAAACAAATATACTGCCCTGAATTAGGACTGGGGTGTTAGTTTGTATAGTACAACCCTTCAGTCTGGCTTAGCCTGTTTCCCTTTTGATTAGCTCATAGAAACAATCAGAACTTTACAGTGCTTAGCAGTCAGTATATCTACAGGTATAAGATTTAAAGTGGAAAGAGGCTTTTCCTACTCTCTCGTGTTTCCCCAACCCATCACCTGAATCTTGTTTTCCCTTTTCTTTCCAACAGCTACAAGCCTAGAAACACAGATTCTGGTGCATCCTCCTAATACCAAAGGTCTTTTAGTGGAGTGCAATTCAGGAGGTTGGTTCCCACAGCCTCAAATGGAATGGAGAGACAGCAGAGAAAATATCATCCCACCTTCCTCAAAATCCCATTCACAGGATACAGACAAATTGTTCAACATGAAGATGACCCTTCTAATACAGAGCACCCATGGGAATATCACCTGCTACCTTCAAAACCCTGTAACTGGTCAAGAGGAGAAGACAAGCATTGTCCTATCAAGTGAGATCTGTGTGTTTGTTCTTCAGGTGATGGCCATTGTCATCAAATTTATAAACTAACAAGAAAAATAAATATACTCTCTTCACTTGGTTTTTTAGGATACTATATTCTCTTGGCTTTGTTCACCTACTTGCTTATTTTCTTCCTTATTCTCTTCTGCTACTTCATCTTTTTAACTCTGACTTCTTGATAATACAAGTTTCCCAAGGCATAGTCTTTGAGCCTTTTTTTTTTTTAATTTTTATCTACTGTGGGCTTCCCTGACAGCTTAGTTGGTAAAGAACCCACCTGCAATACAGGAGACACCAGTTCAATTCCTGGGTCAGGAAGAGCTGCTGGAGAAAGGATAGGCTACCCACTCCAATATTCTTGGGCTTCCATTGTGGCTCAGCTGGTAAATAATCCACCTGTAATGCGGGAGATCTGGGTCCAATCACTGGGTTGGGAAGATCCCCTGGAGAAGGGAAAGGCTACCCACTCCAGTATTCTGGCCTGGAGAATTCCATGGACTGTATAGACGATGGGTTCGCAGAGAGTCGGACATGACTGAGCGACTTTCACTTTTCTCTAGTGTGACTTAATTCCATCTCATGGTTTAACACGAAATCATAACAACTCCTCAAATGATATATTTTATCCAGACCTCTCTCCCAAACCCTAGTCTCATCTTTAAATTCAACATTTCAGTACTGACTTCTAGTAAATATTGCGAATGAAACAGATCTATAATTAAACTCTTAAGTACCTGTTAACTTGTGTGATTTACTGCCTTTCCAGTCACACTTCATATTTTTAGTTTCTTAGAAAAAAATCCTTGAAGTCATCCTTAACTCCCATTTTTCTCTTATATTCTATATCACATGTGTCAAGAGATAATACTAGTTTTACTTATAAAATATACCCAGAGTCTCACCACTTCTTACCACCTGTCCAAATAAAAAACACTATTGTCCATGGTCTGAATACTGGCAATAGCATCTATAAAGTTCTCCTTACTTCTTCTCCTGTCCACAATAGTATATTCTCATCATTTGGATATCAGGACCCATTTAAAACATGAAATATATGTCACCCTTTGCTTAAAACCTGCAATGATTCCCCATTTTATTCTAAGTAAAATGACCCAAAATTCCCTGCACTACCTATACTCCTGTTCCCTACCTGACCTATCTCTTACTGTTCTCTTGTGTCTCTTCTAGTTGAATCGCACAGACCTCCTTGCTGTTCCCCAACTGAGACAGAACTGTTCCTGCTTTGGGGTCTTTGCTCCCATTGTTCCCTCTTGCCAGAATGCTATAATTCCAATAAATTACCTATCTCCTTCAAGTCTGTATTCGTCTCACCTTTGAATTAAATTTTGAATTAAATTTATTTGAATTTATTAAATTTATTTGAATTAAGTTTGAATTAAAGACCATTTTGACAAACCAATTTGAACAAAAACGCAACTTGTACCACTCCCTCTACCTGGGATTGCCTATCACCTTACCGTCTTTTCATTTTTCTTTTTTATATAGTAGTACCACCTTTTAACCTACTATATAGATTATTTATTATGTTTTTTAAAATCACTTATCTATCTCCTTTTCTAAAACAGAGGTAGAGATCTTGGTTGTACTTGATATACCCCAGCCTCTTCAAACATTTCATGGCACGTAGTTGATAAGCAAAAAATAATAGATACTTGAAAGATTGAAATAAAACAAAATGAGTGCCTTGGAAACTGCTAAGTACATGTACATGTATTAGTATTTGTATATGTCTGTGAAATTAATATTGGAGCCAAATACTGAGAGGGATAATCTCAATTCAAGAGAATTGAGACTGAATAATTGAATAATCCCAATTCAAGATTATTATAATAGGAATAAGGCCCTAACAGGTTTAGCAATTTACTACTTTTAGAATACTTTTGTGTTTATTTCTCTGGGGAGAAAAATATCACATTCCCAGTGAAATGACAGGTATCTATGTACAGTATGTGCAAATCAGCAAACAAAAGCAGATGCTTGTTCATGTGAATAGGAGAGAAGGAAAGTTTACATAATCTCTAAATGTATTCAAGAAGAATGCCAGACCCAGGAACACATTGGAGAACTCAGGACTACACATAAACTGGTTGCTTAAACAAAAAGACTAAAGGACTGAGTTGGTCTGAGGCTAATGGGAAGAAACCAGCCCTACCTCAAGGGGAACATGAGATAGAATGGGTGGGAAGAATTGGAATGAGCAGTCTTCACTCACCTTTGCTCCAGTCTCAAACTAAATCACGTTTGGCTTAGTCCCACTTCAGACTCTTGGTCGCTTTTCACTCACCAAGTTATAACTGCCTCCCCAAACTTGCTTAGGTCTAATATCTCAGCATTGTGAGGTCTTGAATGCTTTGGATGAATCTATTTCAGATAAACTGTTTCTATGGAGTACAGTTTGGAAGTTGATTCTGGGCTTAATTCTGGCTCTACTGCTGACCTCCACCATGGTCTCCAGTGTTGCTCTACATCGTAGATTGCAAAGTAAGTGGGTTTGAAGGGTGGGAGATGTAAGGGGGGAGGGGGAGCTAAAGCTGCATGACCCTTGATTTCCAAGCCTGTGTGCCTCAGAAAGTTCTGAATTCTTAGGTCCTTACTAGATGTATGCTCTTCACCATTCCTCGACCTTCTGACAATGCTGTGTGTCTGAAAGCCTTGGCTTTCTTGTACCTCAATCAAATTCAAATTATTTTGTTTCCTATGGTGATAGCTTTCCCAACAAATTGGGAGAGCTTTTAAACATTTAGCATTTAACACAGTTTACACGTTATCTCTCACTTGACTGCTTAAATGGTACAATGACTTTGTCAGGGCAGGAAATAAAGTCCTGATTGCACAGGGCAGAAACAGCTGCATAGAGGTCACTTAAATAGTACACAGCATCAGGAAAATAGAGCATACAGGGAGACTTACTCCAGGTAGCTTACCTTTCCCAAGGGGAAAGTTTTCACCCATCTCAACCAAGCTGCTCTGGGGGAAATGGACTTGGAGGATTTAGGGGGAAATTTTAACACAAAAAAAAAATAGCTGTTCATGACTCAAAGGTGTACTCAGCTTTAAAACCTTCAAATTCAACATGTCCATTATCATATGTAAAATAGATGACCAGTGTAAGTTTGGTGCCTGAAGCAGGGCACCCAAAGCCAGTGCTCTGGGACAGCCCAGAGGGATAGGGTGGGGAGGGAGGTGGGAGGGGTTTCAGGATGGGGTGGGGGGACACATGTATGCCTGTGGCCCATTCGTGTTGATGTATGGCAACAACCATCACAGTATTGTAATTATCCTCCAATTAAAATGAATAATAAATTAAACCTTCAAATTCACAGATCCTTTCTGGTATAGCTCTATCTTTCAAGACTACATTCTTCTGAGGTCTCTTTCTAGCTGAAAACTTGGACTTCCACAAAGCCTCTCTCTTTAGTAGCTCAGTGTTCTGCATGTTCTCTAGGAGCACAGGTAAGAGCAGCCAGAAACAGCTCACAATCTCCACTACGTTCGAGAACCTGTTCTGAATACTGTCTACCTGTTACCCGACACACAGGTGAGCAGAGCTCCTCCCAGGTCCCTTGGTGTATGGTTCTGTGTCCTATAGAGGTACTTCTCTTTATGGCTGGATGCCACATTTTTGATGTTGATAAGGAGACAAAAATGAGAGCCATTTATGCCACCATGATGCTCATGAATCTTTGTATCCCAGATTTTAAACATTAAGTTAGACTGTGCATGTGTGTCTGCTAAGTTGCTTTAGTCATGTCCGACTCTTTGTGACCCTATGGACTGTAGCTCACCAGTCTTATCTGTCCATGGGATTCTCCAGGCAAGAATACTGGAGTGGGTTGCCTTGCCCTCCTCCAGGGGATCTTCCCAATCCAGGGATCGAACCCACATCTCCTACATTGGCAGGCAGATTCTTTACCCAGTGAGCCATCTGGGAAGCCCTAGACTATGCATAATACTCCACAATGGAGGAATGGGCACCACTTGTGTTGTTAAGCCCCCATGTAATAGAATATTTGCATGGGAAGACTAGATAGCCAAATGACACCACAATGATGTGTGCTAAATAAGATTTTAAGCAGTATGTTGTCTAATAACCCTTTCATGAGATTCTTACTTTCAGAGCTCTTATGATCTCTTAGGCAGTTTAGAGGTCTCCAGACCTATCCTACTCTGGCCTATTTTGAATCTAGATATAATAAGGACTAGTGCATAGCTCTGTCTCACTCTCCCTAATGCGGCACACTGATTGATGGGCTAGAGGAAGAAAAAGAAAAATGAGTTACTTTCCTCTGGGTCTGTTTAGCCTCAGCCCCAAACCACTCCCATCCTAGATACAGCTCTGCTTTTGTCCCAGTGACCAACAGCTTTAGACCTAAGCCTTTAGATACTTGGGATCCGCTAGTCCTAAGCCTTAGCCCTATATTTCCTGCCCCCCCCCTTAGTCCTATTCTAAATAAATACAAAGGGATGGCATTAAACTATAAATCTTATTTTTCTGGTGCACTTCCCTCAATCCGAAGTGTCTCCACACCAATAACTGATGGTGATCTTCCTCTATTTTTTTTTTTCAGATTGCTCCTGCAATGCAGTACCTCCTTGGTTAGTGGGCATACTAATAGTCTCGAGTTCATTCATTATGATTGTCTCCCTCATTTTCTATTTGCATTACAAAAAAAGAGGTATGTGGGACCAAAAAGATGAGAACTTTGTGAAAGTATCTCCAAGTGCTCAGTATCTGGTAAAACATTTAGCCAAAGAAGAGTGACAAAGCTGTTTATCTGAAAGCTTGGGTTTCTTCTTGTACCTCAAATATTTGCTTGAATTCCATGAACAATAAATTTTTGGACCTCATGTCACTGGATTTTTATTCCAGCCTCCAGAATTTTGTTGGTTTAATGATACGAACTGCTGATCCCTCTTCTCCCTAGCAAAAGAAAATATTTCCTTCAATAAAACAGCTATATTTTGCCAAAAATCCAGCCAATTCTTCCTGTACTTTTAGCTTAGAGGAGATAATAATTCAGTATATCTTAAACGTTGGGGGTTATAGATTACTTTAAGAGACTGATACAAAGAAAAAAGTCTCCTTCTCAAAATGATTTATATGTCTACAGATATTTTGCTTAAGTTTATGATCTGTTCTCGGGTTTCCCTGGTGGCTCAGATGGTAAAGAATCTGCCTGCAATGCAAGAAACCTGGGTTTGATCCCTGGGTCAGGAACATCCCCTGGAGAAGGTAATGGCTACCCACTCCAGTACTCCTCCCTGGTGAATTCCATGGACGGAGGAGCCTGGCAGGCTATAGTCCATGGGGTCGCCAAGAGCCAGACACGACTGAGCGACTAACACTAATACTCATGGTCTGTATGGACAACTGAAACTGATCCTTCTCGTTGACTCTCTTTGAAGGTGAAGTTGAAAGGGCAATTGTAAAAGTTTGGGGATAGCTGAACCCAGCATATTTTAAAATGGGTCCTTAGCTCTATCTTTGAGGTCCCCATGCACAAAGTGGGGCTGAACTATTCAGAGGATTTTATTTATTAATTTTCTCCTATGCAATAAAGACAAACTAGTCTTAGATAAGACTAGACTGAAACTGCTTTTATATTTCACTTTAAGAAAAGCCATACCTGAATCTTGCTTTGCATGTTAGCCAACTAAATACTCTCCCCATTTGTGCTTGAGGAAAGGAGCAAGATACTATGATAATAGCTAGTACATATTAAATATTTATTATGTGCTGTATGGATTTTATAATGTTAATACATTTACTCTTCAGTGAACTAGATTTTAAATGTGATAAAATCTGGAACACAAAGAAGTTGAATAACTATTCACACAGCTAAGTAATGGCAATGCCCAGACCCCAACCAGGCACTGAGACCTCTGTTTCAATAACTCTAGTGTACTGTTCCTCTATGGAAAGACTAAAAATAAAATTTAAAAGAAAGAGATATTTAGTCAGCAGTCTTGTGAAAAAGAATTGATCATTACAGGGAAATATTGCCTGGGTACTTAGTGATTTATGAGGCTTCCGTTGGATAGAACAGAAAACCCCAAGAATAGGTTGCAAGTCACTGTCACTGTCGAAGCAGACCTGGAATCCTTAAGAGTGAATCTGGGAATTAAAATTTTATTTTTGCTTACTCTAACTTGAAGACCTAAAACTAAGTCATTGATCACAGAGGCCTCCACTCACAGTGCTCACAACTCCTGGTAATTAGGCAAGTAACACCTATCCACTAATCTCTTTTCTAATTGCTACTGAACTTTCTTCTCCTTACTTAAAATGGACTTTTCCCCATGAATATTGCTTCCTCTATAACCATCTCATTTAGCAGCCTCATTCCTAATTTAGACAACTTTCTGTTTGTGGTGACCTTCTGGACTGATTTTCCTTCTTGATGTTTATCAATTCAGAAAGCACTTGTCAATTCGTTTAACAAATACAAATTTCCAGGAAATTCCACAAACATTGTATATTTTAATTCTTAACATCTTTATGCAATGTTTATTATTATCTTCACTTTGGAGCTGCAGATACAGCAGAATGTAAAATTTGATCAACTTACATCAGTTGACCCAGCAAAAAATAAAATTATTACTGGGATTCAAATCATGTGTCCCTTATTATGAATATTTTACAATAAATCAGATTGTCTTTCTAAACGCAAGTAAATGTTTCTTCACGAGAAATAGCCAGCATTTGAGTCTCCAACAGATATATTCTGCTCTTCTTGCTTTCTGTGGAGGTCATGCACAGAGAAACCTGCAAGAGATGTATACTATTTATTTCCAAGAATCAGTGCCAGACTAGAGTCAGGCTATCTTGGCTATACTACTAACTGTGTGAACTTGAGGAACTTATTTAAAGTCTCTGAACTATAGTTTCTTCATCCTTAAAATACTGATGATAATGCCTATTTCATAAGGTTATTTTAGGTTAAATTAGTCAATACATTGAAGTCATTTAGTCTAGATTTACACATAGTGCAAACCACACTAATGTTTGATACTATTATTACTATCATTATTATTAGCATTGTTTATGGATTCTGCCACAATTCCCTGTCTTGTGTCTCAGCTGGTGGGAAGATTGGGCTACACATGTTTGCCATCATCCTTCTTCCCTTTTCTCCTAAGCTCATGGCATGTCTTTCTTCACTTGCACCCCACCATGACCTTAACTTTCCTTCTAAGCATGGACATCCCTAGCCAAGTAGGAAGGAAAGAAAATTAAAAAGTCAGCATAGATTTAAACACACACACACACACACACACACACACACGATCTTCTGATACTTTTAGCATCCTAGAACTATTTTATTTTCAAACTTTTCTTTCAATTTTATTTTAAATTTTGTTCTACCCCTTAGGAGAAGAACTTTGAAGTTCTCCTTAATGTTAAACTGAGAAAAATGGAAGTGTGTGACCCAGAAAAAGACTTGTAGACTCTTCACTCTCTGATCATTTTGCACATGCTCCCAGAGCAACTTGTCTATTTTTAAAAAATTCAAGCTATCACCCTTACTAAAGGGGACTCTGATCTAGTCAAGTGCCGAGAATTTATACCAAATTATGGGGTAAAGTAGATATTAATTAGGGAAATGCTTTACCCTCCATTTGTACAGTCTATGACCATATGGAATATATTGTGAGGGCAACAATTTTGGTGACTTTTGAGTTTTCTTTTCTCCAAGAAGAACATTGTTGATTATTTCAACCGTTATTTCAAGGATGTGGATTTAAGACTCCTGACTCCTGTTTCCCCATCCTTACTGTGTTGGTTGTCCTTCTCTACAAGATAGTATGAATCAGTGAACAATCATGTCAGTGAAGCAAACGAGTTAATATAGAAAAGTAATTTTTAATAGGCAGAGCTTACCAGTAATGAAACAGATACCCTAACTGTTGGTAATTGTGCTCCCATCACAAGACATATTAATCAGTATTATGAGGTGGGGATATTCCCCACTTTTATAATCACCCAGAAAACATACTTTACAGAAGATGTCTGCTACAGATAAGAGGATAACTTTTGAGAATTATAATATCTTTTTCATCTCAGAGATTCTGCTCATTCCAGATTATTCTATTTTACCATATTTCTCAAGAGGTCTAGAGTTCCTGAGGGCCTGCAGCACCTCATGAAGTAGACAAAGGTATAATGTGTGTATCCAGCCTTTAGACTCTGGCCAACCAGAGCAAGTGTCATGATGCTTGGGTGGAAGAAACAATATCTGCCTCTTTGCAGCCTTCTTCCACACTTAGCTCAAATGTGCTCATCTCCAGGATCATCTACACAACCCAGCCTACTTCTCCTTCTCCCTCATACAAGCCCAGAAGTATGGAGCCATAGGAATGTGAAAAGCAAACCTATTGTGAGTCTGTAATCCAGTCCTCCGTTCCCTGCTGTGGTTCTTTTAATGCTTGCATCTCTCTACAGTCCCCGTTTCAGATCCACATTTCGAGTTGGATGTCATGTGGCTGGAGGATATGACTGTGATCCTGTGTGTTTTGACGGTCTTCATCACCATGATCATTTCCTCTGCTTACTTTAGACTCAGAGGTAAATGGAATGGGAAGGGTGGTAACTCAGAAGGCATCATTCTTCTAACTGATCTCCAGATACAGTCTCTCACTGTAGCTTCTTGAGTCTCCTGGGGTTTCTACAAAAGTGACCTTTCCGGTCCTTGTGCATTAATAGCTGGGGGAAAAACAAAGACCTGTTCTTTGTCGTTTGATCTGTTTCTGTATGAAGCTCTCAGTGAATTTGATGTAAGAATAATACCTTAGAGATTTTCTTGCCAGAATTTATACTTTTCTAACATGATGTGTTTGGTACATGTAATGAAACTACATGTGCAACGAAGCTGCCCAAGCAAGATAATAATAGTCTCAGGATAACTCTAAATTCAACTAAATAGAATTTTGGAATAAAGAAGAAAGAGGTGGGGGGAGTGTCCTGTTTAATAAACAAAAGTGGTGGGGAGGGGGGCCGAAAGAGGTAGTTTTGAGACAAGGTTATACTCAGCCTAGAAAAGGATGGTTGCTTAATGAAAAGAACATAGTTTTTTAATCCGATAAGCTTGGGTTTTATCCTGGCTTAACCATGCTGAGTGATCTTGGGTAAATGGCTTCTCTCTTCTGATCTAATTTTATTTCCTCCACAAAATGGGGAAGATAAGTCATGCTTTATGAGATTATTCAGCTGAGGAATTTTGATGTAAAGATCTAACATTGTGTACTCAAATAAATATCACATGCACACACATGTGCATATACCTGCTCCTATACACACATCAGAGAGGCAGCCAGAGGGGAGGAAGACCAGAAGTGGTCAGATTCTACCCCAGTGAAATCTGTCTTTTCCCCTCTGCTTCTATACCTCTTGAAACATCTACCTCTACTACATCTCGCTGTCTCTGCCTGTTCACTCAAAATCTTACTGTGATATCAGCTGATATATCGCTGAAAAGAAATGAATACAATATAGTCTCTTCACAAAAAAGAGAAGAAAGAAAAGGAGGAAAGAAGGAAGAGAGGAAAGAAAGAGGGAAGGAATGTCAGAGGGAAAGGAGGAAGACTTATGCCCTGTATAAGGGCTCTCTGATTGTAGCCATCCTGAGGCTCCCTGGGGTTTCTACATGTGCAAAGTTAGCGCTTCAGATTCCAATGACAGTCTCAGTTCTGTCATTTCACACTTGTGATAATTCTAGTAGAACTGGAAGGTCCAGGTGTTTCATCCTGTGATGAAACCATTCAATGCTACGCATTTTCTTCTATTTTGATTTCAAAGACAGAATTAAAATTTTAATATTATAGTTGATAATTGAACATTATAGAAACTCGTAGGCATCTACAAAGGCTGAACCAGGAACATTTCTGAAGCTATGTCCACAGTAGAGTGTATATTTTTGAAATTCCCTAACACCCAACATTGAAAGTCCTGGCATTATGTGCAAAATATAATCTGCTTATGAAATCAATGGAAGGAAATATAAAACTAGTCATGTGAGAAGAAAAATTTTAATACTTGATTCTTGTGTTCCACCAGTAACCTACAATCCTAAAATGTTCCATTAAAAAATGTATGCAGGGTTATGAAAATATATACTCTTAATTACTAGCAGGCTCTTTCCCTTAAATACAGTGCAAATCTATGATGAGTTATTGTGGACAATACATACAAGCTTTTTACTTAAGCTTAAAAAGGCCTAGAACCACAACGAATGGGTAGTTTGTTCTCCCATCTTTGCATTCATTGACTCTTGGGTCTCTCTGGACTACCTGTCGAGAGCTGCTAGAGTGGCTGATTAGGATGACAAGAGAAACTAAAGGTAACAGTCATGTTTTTATCCCCTTACTGTGGGTGTGTAAGAGGCCAAAAAGGAAAATAGTGCTGGCTCCTCATAGTTCCAGCACTGGACAAGGGTCAGGTGACCTGCAGCACAGGTTGGGGAAATAGTGTCTCACTATAAAGAACACTAGGGCTTCCCTTGTAGCTCTGGAGGTAAAGAAACCGCCTGCAATGCAGGAGACCCCCGTTTAACTCCTGGGTCAGGAAGATGCCCTGGAGAAGGGATAGGCTACCCACTCCAGTATTCTTGGGCTTCTCTGGTGGCTCAGTTAGTAAAGAATGCACCTGCACTGCAGGAGACCTGGGCTTGAAATAGTGTCTCACTGTAAAGAACACTGCACAGAAGACTCCTGCCATTTTACAGACTCAGGGGGAGAGTGGATGGGAAGGAGAAACAGAACTAGAATGGAACAATCCTGAGTCAAAGTGGAGAAGAATAATTTAATCAAGATGCCCTCCCCCAATAAAAGGTCTCAGCAGAGGGTACTAAAAATAAAAAAAGCCATTTAGGCTGAGGACCCTTGGAAGCCTCCAAAAAGAGGTACCTGGGCTAGGAATGCAGGTATGCATATGAACATGGCTGCTGGGAGTGAAGGACCTAGTCCTGGATTGCACCTCCCTCCAGAAACTGAAAGGTGCTGACTGTGCACCAAGTCTGGTGTGAGGAGCCTGCGAGGCAAATCTTGTCATTTCCTATGGTCTGACATAAGGAATCACATATAGTAACCTGGACTGGAGTCAGACCCTTCATTACCTCTCCAATGTTGAGAAACATTCCACCCTTTATAATTAAACAATTGCAAGGACAAATGAGTGCTTCCCACAGTACAGATTTATGCTTCTCAGGCCTAGTATCTACCACTGAGGAAAACAACTCAATCACTATCCTTGCATCCTATGAGACACAGATTAGTGATAGCTGAAAGCAGAAAGGAGCCTGTAGCCAATATTCATCCACTCAAAAGCCAGGCTTACCTGCTGGCCGAGTGGGATTAAAAGAAGAGTTAGAATCAAGGAGAGGTTTTATTGTCTTTCACACTGGAGACCAGAGTTATTAAAAAATGAATCCTGTTTTCAACCACGTGGTATCATAAGGCCATTTCTCAGCACTGCTCCTCTTTGTCCCATGGAGACGAATGAAGGAGTTGCTTTAGCCACTCAAAGATTTTGTCAGTTACTTTTTTGCTTTCCCAGGTGTTTATGAATAAATCAAGAAAATATTCTAATTGATTTGAAAGAGAGATTGTGCAATGTATTTGACTGAAAAGACTCAATTCATTCTACTTATTACCATTTACAGTCTATTAATTCTAATATATCTCACATTGCTAATATCATAGAATCTATAGCAGCAACCTCACAACAGGCCAAAATTGGAAAAGATCAAACTTGACCACAAATTGAAATGCTCTACATTAGCTACTGTTGCTGCTGCTAAGTCACTTCAGTCGTGTCCGACTCTGTGCGACCCCATCCCTGGGATTCTCCAGGAAAGAACACTGGAGTGGGTTGCCATTTCCTTCTCCAATGCATAAAAGTGAAAGTGAAGTCGCTCATTAGATTTTTAAATTTAAAAAAATCAGGAATTCTAGAGGTTAGGACTCCACACTTCCACTGCAGGGTGACTGAAGTTCAATCCCTGCTCTGAGGAACTAAGATCCTGCATCCGTGGGGTGTGGCCAAAAAAAAAAAGAAAAGAAAATCAATCATTTCTCATAATCAGGTCAATTTTGTTTTACAAAGAAAAAATAATTGCCTCAAATACTTTTTCAGCAATTTTTCTTAATGTTTTCTCCAGTTCTACCAAGTTTGTATTAGGGTTTAGGATGAATCTCATTGCTTTTTCAGTAATAACTTTCTATGCACCCTTTCACTGAATGAGTTTATCTCTTCTCTTATTTGAAAAGTTAAATTTTCCAATTCTGTATCTTATGTTTCACAACTTTTCAAGTTCCAGAAGGTAAAAGGGATACATAAGAATATTTAGAAAAATTTAAAAAGCAAGTCCACAGATTCACTGCAGTTTCTGATGTGCCTTGTGACATTAAGCATCAGATAACATTGTGTAATGATAGCCTTTTCCAAGCAAATGCACATAATGTAGAGTGATTTACTGCTCTTTGAGTTATGAGAGTGAAGGAGAAAAGAGAAAAAGAGAAAAAAGACAGAAAGAGATAGTTTATGTGTGTGAATATATATTATTGATTATAGTTTCACCAGGGTATCCATTTACTTCAGTTGCAAAGAGATACTGTGCAAATTAAATCAGACTCCTTTCTAGAATACCTTTATTCCTTACACACATCCTCCCAGCAGAGATTTTCCTCTCATTGATTTAAGCCAGAGAAGTCAAGTTAATGACTTCTAAATAAAAGTTGTTTCTCATGGCTTTTCCAAAGATGACTTTGGCATCTTGGAAGAGATTGATATGTTCTCAAATGTGTTTTTATTTCAACTAGTTGCCTTTAGTAAAATGTGAATTTATAATAGCTTGAGTACATTTTATTTCCTCAACAGGTTTCCTACAAAATTAAGGGATTAAGCAAGCAGTGAATGTTTCATCTGGGACAATGGATAGACTACGGAGGATCAATAGGCTACGATCTCCAAGAAAAGTAGCTAAGCCCTCACAATTTAATTTTTCCCTTGCAATTTTATATACAGCCAAATAATTGCCAGGTGTAAAGCAAATAAAATATGTTTGTTCACTCAAATTTGCATTTCATTTGTAGCTCTTGTACAAACTATGTTAAAGTTAAAATGGATAGAAAAGTAATCAGAAGACAGAAGATAACAAATTAGGGTAATGACTGAAATAAAGTCAATAATCTACATGGGAAAATGAAAGTAACTCTGAAAGTAGAAATAAATCTATACCGATCAGAATTAAATGTCGTATCTATCAGCAATTAAACATATCTGGGACATCAATCAGGGACATGCATCAGAAGGCTCTTAGCATGAGAGTCCATAATAAAAATTAAATAAACAGGTAACACATCTTCTGTACATTGAGCTAAAAGAATGATTTTGTATATTAAATTAAATATAAGAGGGATAAAGTTTTCAAGTGAAGCCAGAGTACTTACTCTGATAAGGGACACAAGGAAAATATTAGGATATAAATTTATTTCAGGATTGGCTTTCATAATGACTGAAGTAACAAAGGCCATGGGGTAGAAACAAGCTCAAGTTATAACCTAGAAGAAACTTGGAAAAAATTTCCATTCATTGGGTAACCCACATGGTAGGTATCAGGAAGATGTGTGTGTGTGTGCTAAGTCACTTCAGTCAT